GACGACCTACCTACGCCTACCTACCATCCAGCGTGGTCACAGGATTTTGTACTACTAAGGTAACGACGCTGCAGCCCTCTGAAAACGGCTCAGTGCGCGGAAAGCCTTTGCCACTTAGGCTCTGAGCCGACTTTGGATTGGAGGGTGGGACTTTTTTTTCATCCCTGGTGGTACAAAATCTGATATTTTCCCGAGGTGTCCCAGATGACCTACCTACCATCCAGCGAGGTCGCCCGATTTTGTACCACCAAGGTTACGACGCTGCAGCCCTCTAACAACGGCTCCGAGCGCGGCACCTGAAGTACGACCAAAAATTAGACCAAAAACATACCATCCAGAAATGCGTTTTAGGACTTGGGGAACAAAATATATCAAAAGATGGCGGGACACTTTTTCGGAAAATGTTTGCCACTTTCGCTCTGAGCCGACTTTCGCGGGAGGGACATTTTTATCCCTTGAATCTTCAGTATAACTCTACCTACCATATCTAAAGGGTGGGAAATCTGTCTAGCATGACAAAACAGGAATTCCATCTAGTTTTGACCTCTTGAACTAGTTACAGGGCCTTGCCTTATTACGGCAGTTGAGTCATTATCATTGAGTTAAAATAGTACCACTGCAATATGTCCGTACACTAACCTAAACAACGACACCGGGACCGTTTACAAGATCGTGTAAACTTACTTTTCCGAAGCAAAACTTTACAGAAGCAGTTTTTGACACAAGATTGTTTCGCCGGTCTAGTATGGGCCCAATTCCTCTATACATATTATACAAAACTTGATTTATGAGTTAACTAGTTACAGGGCCTTGCTCTCTGGTAAATCATTGTCTTTCACTTTCAGCTTTTCTAGTTCAGAGGTCGCCACCTTACTCTGGTGAAAGAATTCCACTTTTTTTTTTTACTTTTATGATTAGTGCACGGAGAAATGAGTTATCGATCGCGTCTTGGAAATCGTCATCGTCTTCCTCTATATCAGATTCCCTGTCGGGTAGGTCAGTGTCAGTTTGAGCTTGAGCCCCGCCGTCCATTTCCCTCTCTGATGGGAAAATAGAAGGTTTATGAGAAAGTTGCCCGATAAGAGGAAAGGGAAGAACGTAGCACTGAGGAGGTGGCGTGGCGTAGCGCCGTCCCTACTCAAAGCAGAAGATGAGCGACAGTCTAGCAGAGGTTAGGATGCGTGTCGTTAGATTTCAAACAGTTTAGAACGAGTCCATGCATATAGCACCTTTGTACCACCTATTCTCAAGTTTATTACGGCAGTTGAGTCATTATCATTGAGTTAAAATAGTACCAATGCAATATGTCCGTACACTAACCTAAACAACTACACCGGGACCGTTTAGAAGACCGTGTAAACTTACTTTACAGAAGCACTTTTTGACACAAGATTGTTTCGCCGGTCTAGTATGGACCCAATTCCTCTATACAAATTATACAAAACTTGATTTATGATTTATGATCACACATCCACTTCCGGCAAAACACAGTATGGTCGCCGATGTTCTGCTTTGTTCAGGGACGGCGCTACGCCACGCCACCTCCTCAGCGCTACCTTCTTCTTGTTCCTTTTATCGGGCAACTTCCTCATTGGGCATCATGACCCGCTGGCCGACATTGTCCAACATGTGCCCAATGCAAATGATGTGCCTGCCAGGGAATTCATCTTTTAGGGCGCGCTTAATATTCGCTACGCCATCCGACACTGCAGCTGGAACCTTTACCCTAACAATGCCCCAATCAATGGCAAGGTAGATGTACGCCGGGCTAGGTCTCGCGTGACACGCTTCGCGATATCTCACAAAACACTGTTACGCTGCGACGCGCTAGAGTCGTAGAAAGGCCTTCGCTTCCAGAGGACACATTTTACCCCCAGGATTTTATTTGCCACAACAAAGACCATCAAATATCCAAGAAACAACATTAAAATGATTTGGGGTCATTTTCGTGTGGAAATCGCCCTCAGGCGACTAAACGGTTAGAGAGAGCCAAAAGAACGAAATGTTCGCCCAGAGGGCTCTACTTCGAAGAGTTACCCCTTGGGAAAGTGTAAAAAAGAAAAGTTCAATAAACGTCATTTTTCGGACCTGTTGTTTTTGACTTCTAAAAATGCATTTTTTGAGCTAGAATGCGCTGTTTCGAACCCGATCTGTCTTATTACTAGGTAGATGTACGCCAGACCACGTCTCGCGTAACAGGCTTCGCGATATCTCACGAAACACTGTTACGCTGCGACGCGCCTGGCATACATCTACCTAGGCCTGCGGCGCTGACACCCGAGTCGGGTAGTGCAAAAATGCACTCAAAGATACGGGCCTCCGGCCCGTTAACGGCCCGTCACTTTGACTAAGAATGCATGGTTGTACACTTTTTCGCTTATTTTCGTCAAAAACACCCTCTAGCGCCTCAACGGTTTGAGCTAGAGCAAAACGGAGAAAATTTTCGCCTCAAGGGTTCTACTTTGATGAGTTACCCCTTAGGAGACTGTAAAAAAATATTTTTAAAAAACATTATTTGTAGGACCTGTGGTTTTTGATTTTTTAAAAATCCAATTTTTGAGCTAGAATGCTCTCCTTCGAACTTGATCTGTCTTTTTCTGACACAAAACGACCCTGAAAATCCCAGGTCGCTAGCTCAATTCGTTCTCGAGTTATCGTGATGACAGACAGACAGACACACAGACACACAGACAGACAGACAGACGCAAAACTTTTTGATCATCACTGGAGTAATAGGCTTCGCTATCGCTCAGCCAATGACACAAAACGACTGACAGACAGTCAGACAGACGCAAAACTTTTTTAATATCATTGGAGTTATATGCTTCGCTAATAGGGTATTCCACTGGAAGTCAACCGGAACCTGAAGAAGAAAAGCATAACTGCTCGATCCGTTTCCCTCTACGCGCTCATTGGCTGACCACCACACTGACGTCTTCGTTGACAAATCAAAGTTCAGGAGGAAACAGATCGGGCAGTCATGCTTTTCTTCTTTCGGTTCCGATTTTCTTCCAGCGGAATAATCTCAGCCAATAACTCCAAGGAGATGTACGCCAGACCACCTCTCGCGTAACTTAGGCCTGCGGCGCTCACAACCGAGTCGGGTAAAGAAAAGAGGCGTAAATAGGGAGGCTCCCCACCCAGCCGCTCGGGCCTCGGCTCGCCGGCGCTGCCGATCGAGAGCCGAACGGCCCGAGCAGCGGGCTAGCGCGGTCACCCCATCCGCCCAGCAGGCGCCTTTCCGCCTTCCGTTTTTGTTCTACTTAGTTCCACCACGCGCTCTAGCGGAGTACCCTATTGCTCTGCAAGCGAACCGGAACTTGAAGAAAGGCATGACTGCTCGATCTGCTTCCCTCTGCGCACTCATTGGCTGACTGACGTGACAAGGTCATCGTTGACCGGCAGCGTTCAAGAGGAAACAGATCGAGCAGTCATGCTTTTTTTCTTCATGTTCCGGTTGGCTTGCAGCGGAATACCCTGTTCGTTCTCGGGTTATCGTGATGGGAGACAGACAGACGCGAAACTTTTTGATCATCATTGGAGTACAATGAGGACTCGCTACAGTTCCGCCGGCGCTCCCTCCCCGCCAGGCCTGGTTCCCCCACTCCGAGCGAGAAGCAGCCCACCTCTCCTCCCCGCCACCTTCCCCTAAGCCGCTAGCAGTGTGAGCGAGCGCGCAGTAGAGGATTGGGGGAAGCCGCTCGCTATAGTTCCGCCTCTGGCGACCCCACTCACCCACACCAATGAGCACCTTGCCTCGTAAGAAGGAAAGAAAATGGTGGCGTAGCGTAGTGCGGTCTCACAACAAAGCAGAAAGCCACAACGTGCAATATCGTTCCTAGTCAAAGTAACATTTTTCAAATTGATATATACCTAGTACCGTGGGTCCTGCAAACAAAAAAAATCATATAACGTCCACTAAACCGTAGATGAGAGAGTATTGGTATCAGGTTATGCTACCCCACCATCATCTTTCTGTTCTACGGGGCAAGGTTGGGTACCGTGGTTTTATCACGGCTTCCAATCACCATTGCTTTCAGATGCTAAAATGTGACCAGCTTGTCACATGAGATATTAATGGAGATGCCTCGAACCTTGATTCAAACCTTAAGGTTTTCGAGGTCTCCCCCCACCGCCACCTTATAGGCATAGTTCTTGGGGCCCCCGGCCACAAACTCCGTGATGAACGACCCAGGACCGAAATCCTCTTCAATCTGATCAGTCAAACCACCGAGATGTGGACCGAGGGTAAGCTCGCGCTCACCAGGGCGACTGATGTAGTACGGCACCGAGTCAGTGTCGTGGTAAAGGGCCCTCTCCTTCACCACGTCCAGATACTAATATAGCTGCAGCCGCCCATGGCAAGTTGTGAGGGCTGCATGCATCAGTGAGGAGGTAGGCAAGGACTCCTCACTGTCCTCTACTGGCTTCCATGTCACCTGATACAGCCTTCAGTCTAGGGGAGAATCCCCGTGACAATTTTACGAGGGTCAATTATGAGCTTCAACAACTTTTCGTGCGTCCTTACAGGTTCGGTCTTGGGGCGGAGGGTCTTCTCTCCGAACTTTCCCCAAAACGAATTGCACATTAATTTGGCAAGGGTGCGCAGAGCCGGATTTTTTTGCCATCTTTGTGGGATCGAGGACCACGCCGTCACTTTTGAGGGCGTCCTCCACAAACCCACAAACTTAGCCTTCAACAAATCAGTGGTGCACTCTGGTCGCCAACCACTGGCCTGAATTTAAAGGGCCATGAAGCAGCTCACATACACTGAGAGGAGCCCGTCCTGCCTGGTTTCCGGGTTGTACTGGGAGGTTCCAGGATATTGGTATACCTCATGGATATCAACCAGCTGGTTCACTTTTTTTAAAGAGCGCCGGAATCAGCTCTGGAGCGCACCATGAACTTGTGAGTTTTCGCTCATCAGGTGTATGTTAGCATATCTCCGTACTCTCTGTCTCTGCGCAAGAGGGAAAAGCAACTTGCCGTTGCACTTGTACGGGAGTACTGGCAGGTAAAGATTACGAGGGGGCAAGACGGTGCACATGATCATCCCATTCCACAAGCTAGAATCAGGCATCTGGGGATCATCCTCCAGGTGGATGACAGGGTGCCCAATCGGGTATACTGCCCGAAGATTGGCGTTGGGGCACTCGCTTATGACGTCCACCAGCTTGATATTTTCCCCCTTTTTAGGATCTGCCTTGCAGCACCACTTCAGGGCACTGGTCCGACCACCTGCCAGACCGTCCCGAAGATTGAGAGGTGGTACACTGTTAAAAAAATCCTGGGATTTCACGGAGGAACAGTCGTGAAAAGTATTGCCAAAGTCCTTTGGGATTTCCCAAAGAACTTTGTAGATTTCACGTGTCGAGTTTAGCTTCGTAACATGTAGACGAATGAAAACTTTCACCTTTTAAAATCTGTTTTAGTAAACAAAACTAAGAACGGAGTCCTCTGGGAATTTCTTATAGTGGTAGAAAGTGAATCTTCGGGAATTCCCAAGAAATTTTTAACAGTGTATGCGGGAAGTGGGGTGGGCATCTAAGAATGCCTTGACCTCAGGATCCGAGTCAAGCTCACGCTTAAACTCGCACTCCCACTTCTCAATGACTGTGTGGCCATTGCGGTGAAACATTGCCCTGAGTCTCACTGTACGTTCGTACTTGCTTTCCCCCGAGTCTGGTGTGGCAGGAAAGTGATCAGGACACTCGTGCCAGTAGCACCCATGAAACTGGTAGATACGACGCTCTGCAGTGCCATCCGGGAGTGGAACTTCCACACAGCCGTCGACAAGGCGACCCATAACAGCAACCTCTCTGTATAAATGGTCCTGATGACCCTTCCAAGCTTATGGGCTTCAGAATAAAGCCATTGCAGTGCAATATGGCTTTGTTTTCCCCTGCCATGGTATCCTCCGGGAGGAACAAGACCAATTTGCTTGGGAGTCAAGAAGTTGCGGCGGAAGGCCACCATGCACGCACTGCTCAAAGTGATGCAGTGCAGCATCGGATCAAACCCGGCAACTTCCTGAAATAGCTTTCTGAAAGCTTGGCACGCCTGGCGAAGAATAGTCACGTCTAAGACACAGTACTCAATAGGCTCACGGCGGAAATTAAACCTATAATTGGCAGCTGCATGAGCATATGCACTGCTTCGGGCTTTTGATACCTCGGTTCACGATTGCAAAAATTGTCTCAGCCTTTCGCATGGGCTGCGCAGACGCCATCACAAACACGTGAGGATTGCACAGCTTTTGGGCCACGGTAACCAGGGGCACGACCAGATTTGTGAAGTCCTTTACTGTAATGTACACGAAAAGGAAGGTTTTCCCAGCCACCTTGTGAGTGGGATTGAACACACCATACCTTTCTCTGTGTGGAAATTGACGTTCTTGAAGTCTTGCACCGTAAGGTTGGCGACGTTGCCGGGGCGGCCTGCCGACGGGGCCAGTATGCGGGCCACCACAAAGCCTACGTGCTTCACTCATCGAAATCTGCCACAGCGTTTGATTTCATGAAGTCGGACAGAAACAGAAGACTTCACACTTATTAAAGTCTGAGTTCTGCATTTTGACTGTTTTGTGGTGCTGAAGGCACTCATCGCCAGAAAATTGGTGGCGACAGTCAGGGCATCGACCCAGGGCCACATTAGGGCTGTCATGCATTGTGCGCCGCCAACATGACCCCTCACAGAGGTGATCACTCTTGTAGAGGAAGCAACACACTTTTCGCACTGATTTTTTTTTTAATGCTTGGCAAGGATACAATATGGCAGAGAAGAGTTCCTTGTGAAGGAGGAGATACACATTTTTCCTGCCTCTGCTATACGGCCCCTTGAACACGCACTCTTTGCCGTGTTCGTCGGTGAAGACGCAAAGGCGGTGGTCAGGCATAAGGTCCTGCATCCGCCTAACCTCGTCTTGACCACATACTTGGACATTGGCTCAGCGATAGCGAAGCCTATTACTCCAGTGATGATCA